ACCCACACCCCACACCTTTACTAATTGTTTTAAACGTTTATTTAATAAAATTGAATTAACCCACACCCTTTGTTGTTGTATGTGTTTGTTCATTTGATATAGGAATTTTTAAATAATTTTGTGTACGTATTATAACTAATGTTATATAACGCCACCATAATTTTGCTGAAGATTTTGATATTTTTTTATTTGGTCTACTTGGATCATTAATAAATCTTCTATGTGTATTAGCATAATTAATAAAACGTATAACATCTGATAAAATACGTATTTGTTCAATACTTGATTTTAAACTTAAATTATTAAATGTCCATTCAAGTTCATAACGTGGTTGTTGTCGATTAATTAATGCTGAACGTATATAATTATGTGTTAAATAAATTTTTATTGAATTTGATGGTATAAGAATATATGAATGATTTAATAAATTATCTTTATTTATATTTGAATCAATATAAAGTGCAAGATCATGTAATTGAAATATTTTTCTATTCATATTTTCATTTGATAATTCATTTGATATTTGAATATTATTAAATGATAATCCAACTGTATATGGATTATTATCAGATGTAAAACTTTCATAACTAATATGTACATCAATAATATGTACTTGAAGTTTTTCTAAAAATGATAATATTAAACGTTTTAAACTCCATGATGATGATTTAACTTCACCAAGATATTCAAATTCTTTTTCTAATTGTTGTTCAGATAAATCTAAATGATTTCGTTTTTTAACTATTTCATTTTCTTCAATAAATTCTTCATTTTGATTTTCACTATCATCAAGTATAATTGGTTTTATTATAGCACGAACATGTTCAACTTGAATTGTTAATGCTGGTGATGATGAACGAAAAAATAATGAACTCCATACAAATGAACATTGAATTTTACCAACATGTAATGATTCAATTTCAATAGGTAATTTTAATTTTTTTTCGAATATCATTATTAAGTGTTGTTTTATTAAATGTTAAATTTTCTACAACAATTGGTCGACCATAAAGTAATTGAACTGATAATTGATCAGCATTTATATCAACATAACGAACAACATAACCTTTTAGTAATGCAGCTATAATTGCTTCAAACATGCGAATAAATTATTTGAATTAATGGAAACAAAAAAAAAAGAAAGAAATCCAAAACGTAAATCTACAACATGTAGACTATATATCCACAATATACTTTTTTTAAAAATATATTAATTAGATTATATTCCGAAAAGTAAACTGTATGTTTATTCATTCATTTTAATAGGACAAACAAGCAGTATAAAGAGAGATATGACAATCTGTATATACAAGTCAAGTGAAAAAGGCACTTGTTTTTTGAAGAAAAGAACTTGAAGCTAATAAACAAAAAAAAAAGAACCTGAGAACCAACATGATTATATAAATACACACAAATATTGCACAAAATTTTGTGAAAAGGACTTATAAATCTGACAAATCGAATATCATTATTCGTTGAACGATTCAATTCACACAAATCTACTGATATGAATAAGAATAAAGTATGTATAAAGCAAACAAACAGGAAAAAAAAACAAAGATTGAGAAAAAAAAATTGATTTTCTACCCATTCAATATAATATAAAGAAAAGAAGAAATAAATTTCATTTAACAAATAATATTGTTTAGCCACGATTGAGTTTTGACGTTTCGATTTCTTCACGAATTGCATCTTCATAATGGCACAATTTTCGACCATCTTTTATATAAGCATAATTAGCAACAAGAGAACAAAGAAAATGAATCTAAAAATAATATTATATTTAAATTCTATCTAATAAATCAACACGAATATAATCATTCTTACTAAACCCATAACAACAAAAAATGAACCAATTAAAGCTGCAAAATATCGTGGTGTATAGCCTGTCTATAATGTAAAGAATTAATAAATAATTCTACATAAAGTTTTTTTATTCAAAAACACTTTTTTACCAGTGCACATAATTCAAAAAATCGATGTTGACATACTTTTACATCAGGTTTTTGTTTTGGTACAGGTATTCCATAAGTTCCTGGTGTAAGACATAATACTGGTGAAGCAGTATTTGTCACACCAGATGTTGTCGGTGTTGCAAATGCTTCATCACAATGATATTTAAGAATATAGAAATCAATACATGGTACAACTACCCTAGTGAAGGTACTCATAGGCGAGTACTCAAAAAGTACTCACGCTAGAAAATGTCACGAGTACTCATGAGTACTCACGCATTTTGAGTACTCATCAGTAGTACTCCTGCTAGAATCTGAGTATCTGAGTACGACAATCGAGTACTCGCTGTGTAATATTGAGTGTTTTGTGAGTACTACTATCTAGTATCTGTGTGCTCTGCTGACCTATGTAAGATACTTATAAGCATATTTTTGGTTAGTACCGTTGTACTACATTAATTTTTATTTAATATTAAAATACTATCAACAAACAGAGGACATAATGAAAGGTTGAGAAAAATGATCAACATGAGAACGACAAATTTGATATCAGTTTTGATATATTTTAACGTAAAGATTACAGACATAGAAATCTTTATTAGGAGCGAAGAAATTTAAATATTTTCTGTATTTACATACCATAAAAATACAATTTTATTTATTCTTTTCATTTTTCTTTCGAAAAAATAAATAAAAACGTACTTTCATTATATAAAATAAAGAAAAAAGAAATATTTAATTATCTTCTCTAACAATAAAAGTTTCTTTGTCTATATCCTAGAGAATGAGAGTACAATAAGACATAAATTAAGGACAGTAAAATACACTGAAGCAGAAAAATAATAAATTAATCAACGACGATGAGAAACGTGACAATAAATGAACGTACAGTATTGCTTATTACACTAGAAAACTAAACAGACATTTTTAAATCCATCGCTATTTACAATTATCAGGAAATTTACAAAAAAATAAATACAAAATAAAATTATTTGTCTATAGTTTATTAACACATCTTCTTATTTTAAAATCGCGATCGATTTGTAACACAATTTGCGAACTGCCTTGTGTTCCATGATATTCTACAATCAATCTAAAAAAATTGCATTTTAATGAAAGAATTTTGGCCTAAGCTTAGGAAATAAAATAAAAACGAATCTACATTAATATATTTAGAAAAAACTTAATCCTTCCGAAGAATTGAACAAATGAAAATGAAAAATCATTATTCTTTTCTATCTTAAAGTCACCATTTGTTTTATCCGTACAAATGATTCATCCAAAAAAAAATAGAGTATAAAATAAATAATTTATTCAATTGATTTTCTCTATTTTTCATTTTATTACATTAGTTTTTTTTATTATATAACTTCAATTTATTTTTGTATATGCTAATGCATAAGTGTTTTGCTAAATATTCTGCGAAACAACTAGCATGAGTACGACTTTGAGTACTCATCTGTCTGCCTATGAGTAAATTTTTAAAAATACACTCGTACGAGTACTCATTAGAGTACATGGAGAGTAAAAATACACATAAAATTCCTTGAGTACTCGCGTGAGTAATATGAGTACTCACGCTGGAAAGTCGTACTCGCTTGATGAGTATTTTCACTAGGGTAATGTTAACATAGTAAATAACCAAATAAGTAATAATAATAAGATATAAACAATAACAGAAAACTAAAAATATATTCAAACATATTTCTTTCTGTTGCGTAAGTTTTGTTTTCTTTTTATTAAAACTTACAAAACCAGTTGCAATACGACCTCCAAGACGAGAACGAAATCCTGTATAAATTTGATGACGTGTAGCACTTGTAGCTAATGATCCAACAATAAATAATATCAATGAAAAACTTCCTATTATAGCCAAAACAAAAACAATAGCTAAACGTAAAATTCGAATCCTTTAAAACAAAAAAAAATATACTTTGAGTATTTCAATTATTTTATATATTCTACCAATCATAATCAATATATTCAGTTTCAAATACATTATTAACTCGTTCAATTGTTGCTTGAAGTGGATAATAAAGACAGCCACAACAGATACCTGTACCAATTAATGTTAAAAGAAATGCAACTAATGACGCTAATGGCAGGGCTGGCCCGACCGGCGGGGTGGAACACTCCCCCAATAATTACAAATTTTCTGATTTTTATTTCTTAAAGGGTTATGAATTATATATATTAAAGAATCAATAAAGTTAAAAAGAATGATAGAAAATTGACGCGTAGAGTTTATTGCATAAAACGCAGAAAAGAATGTTATATCTTTTTCTTTCATTCTGGCTAGTATAAATATAATGCTGGTAAGTTGGCGACTAGGCTTTTAAAAAATATATATACATACAACTCAATATGATGATTGACCTATAGTGCTTCTTTCTATACCCATTAGGGAGAGCAGTAAATATAATAAAATGAATGAAAGACTAAATGACTGCTATAAAATACATGTAATGTTTTTCAAAATTCAAAGGTTTTTTTTTAATTCAAGCTTTCGGTGATCACTGTCACCATTATCAAGAAGAAAATATAAAACAAATTAGAGAGAAAAAACTATTCTATCTTTAACAAACAAAAAATTAGAACATTTATTACTATGTTCAGTTCAACATGATTTAATAGAAAAATTAAATTTATCAAAACTTGCTAATGATTGGGTAAGTCCCGATCCTGTTCTCTTTCTTCTCAAATCTATCGTGAAACTGAATGAACTAGGCATCATTCGCCTTTGCATTCTCAATTCTCTATTTGTTTTACATTTTTCAGGCATTGATGAAAGATCGAAGGGTGAAAATTCATAAAAACAATTGATTTGATATTATGAACATGAATATTTAACTATTATTTTGCTTTTGTTTTCTTGTAAATGAAGTTTGCGTGTGTTTTTATTCTTCAATTATATATTTAGTCAAGATGATGATAATAAAAAAATTGTAATTGTATACGAACAGAATAAATAGAAAGGACAAGAAGAAATCTGTTTTCTATTATTACATAGTATCTTTCACAAAATGTTTTTTACATCCCCCCAAAGTTTGCGGAGTCGGGCCAGCCCTGGCTAATGAACAACTTTCACAACAACGAAAAGAATCTATACGAAAAAAAAACAAAAAGCAAGTTTCCACGAAAAAATTAAAGCATATTGAAATTCTATCAACTAACTATTCTGTTCATACCGTACTTCAGACATTGTTCGTTCAGATCAAAGTTCTCGACTTCAATCAGCAAAACGGCTAACATCATCTATTGAAAAACAAATAATTATAGATAATGTATTTTATAATAGAATACATACGATCATGAACTACCATATTGCTATAGTGAAAACAATAGTACGAATTGAGTAAGAATTACAAATGTTCGATTGTATCACCGATTAATCGAACGAACGAATGTTGACAGACAGACAGACTGAATAAACAAGCGATCACATAAGCGAGTAACTGCAAGCAAATAGAAAGACAAAAACAATCATTGATCAAACTTTTAAGCCAATCAAATTTTATGTTACATAAAACGCCATTTAAAAGAATGGGGTATTCCTATAGCAGGTGTTCCACCGTGAATGTATGGTAACATTATAGCTGGTGTTCCTCGTCACGAAAAAGTGTTCCACCTCCTATCAATATAGATGGTATAATAACATCATAGCTGGTGTTCCTCATTGTGAGAAAGTGTTCCACCTTTTGATATTATAATATCAGAAGGTGGAACACTTTTTCATGACACCAGCTATAATGTTACCGCATATCCACGGTGGAACACCTGCTATAGGAATACCA